AGTCTACTTACCATAAGTACAATTTATTGGTATAGCAACCACAGTATGGCCACCTTTCTTAGCTTTAGGGAACTTAATAGAGTACTCTTCATGCCCTTCCTTATTTCTTTTAGTTGGCCGTCCAGTGTTTTCATTGAAGTGAAGAGCAGCCAGTCTAATTCTAAAAGGAAGGAAACATGTTTTTACTACTAAAAGGTTAGYTACATTTTATKAAAGTGTGTGATTTTATTATCTTAAAAGTAAAGAACAACATTTATGAATGTATCCTGTGTACAGACCAAAATTTTGGTCTGTACACAGGCTATTATGAATGATATGTTTGAGCAAACTGTTGTGTCAAAGATATATAAATACAAATAATCATAAAATGTAGCCAAAAAATCCAAATTTTTTATTACCTTGCATACATAACGTTGTATGAGAAATGGATCATTTTCGGACAAAACTGATTTACAATACTGTGATAYCCTTCTAGTGAGGATGTTTGCCCCAGTGGAGACAATTTGGCCACCTTGTTTCGCATTCTAGTGCTTTCAATAATTTCAGATAGTTTAACTGTGTCTTCAGCACCTAAAAGCAAGAAACCATTCAGATGAATGAACAACATGCAAGTAYATTTCAATGTAACYCAAAAAAGTTTAGTATTTTTTTGTTAGTAAATACCTGGTTTAAACCACTGTCTTTTAATCTTTTTATGTGTACATTTTTTAAACTTTGTGTTTTGATGTTTGTGGATGTTCTGTAGATGACTCATAAGGGAATCCCACTTGGCTGTAGCTAAGTCTCCATCTCCATTGCTGTGATAAGCAGATATAGGTTGTTTTTTCATGGACGTTGTTGAGCATAAACATTTCAAGATACAGCCACAGTTGTAATTCTAGCTAATTTTAATTTTTTCCAGAATAATCAGGATTTTGGTAATATAAGAAAGTCATTTTAAACTGTGCAACCTATRAACAATAAAATCACAATAGCAAAAAACAATCATTCTTTCATTACAAGTTTGGGTTTGATATTTCAAGAAGATTTGATGTTCTACAAAATACTTTACTTAAATTCTAAGGATGAAAAATGTTKTTACTYTTTGCATCACCACAGTCACATTATAACCTCTTCAACTGACCTTGATTTTGCTACCCAGTACAAATGGTTTGTAATGCTTTTTACCCACTTTCCAACCAGTTCAAAACCTTTCTTATTGGAAAGGGAAACAAGCTTTTTCTTTAAACCTACAATGTAGATAAAGCAAAATCGAAACAGTTTATACTGACTGTTGTTGTCTTGAGATTGCTAATAATGATTTTTACCTTTGGCTACATGCCACACATCATAGTAATGGATCACTTTAGTGTATGCTTCCCTGATATACTTTTGGATCATGGTATGCATATCAGTAACAATAATCTATAACAACAAATTGTTAGAAATTATGCAATTACAATTATAAAGTATAATAATTCCTTTTTTTAACTGTGCATGAATTTTAGTGTTTATCATAGCAATATATCATAGCAATAATATCAATATATTATTCACAAGCAAATTCATTGTTAGAAATGAAATTAGAATTTCATTTTTTGTTTTAGATTTAGCTGATACTTATTTTGTATCTAACCTTAATTTTCATTTTCATCTTTGTTAGACTGKCCATACATCTTTTGAACCCTTCAAGTTCCATATGGTTTGATCCATTGACTTCATTGCACTAGCAAAATTATATAAACAAGTGGTGAGTATTGTTATTGAGTATTTCAATATTAGGAATAATAATTAAAGTACCTGAACAAGTTGGATGTTAATTATCTTATTCTCTTCCAGTTCCATAATGGTGTAACTTCCATATTTGGCAGAATGCCCCATGCTGTCACTTCTCCCATCACCTCCCAACACTAGTTTTTTGTTTCTTAATGTTTCAAGTAGGGCCRTCTCCTCTCTAAACCATACATTTGAAATGGTTCTTAGTAGAAATTTGCTTTGATGTCGAAAGAATGTTCTCAATGATATGGTTTGAACTCCACATGAAGACAGGACTCGTATCACTTTACTAGGCAGGGCACCAGAAAACAGAATTGAGGCGGACAGCAAAATATTCCCTGCAGGGATATTTCCTATCATTGGTTGTGACTGACATTGAAACTTTTTACCACATGCTTTGCATATTTGTAGCACAGAAATAAAGGAACCCACAAATTTTATTGTTGGAGGTTTCACATTATG